CAAGTAGACCCCGGAGCCATGCCGGGACGCCTATCCAGGTCTGGAACTGCACCTTGCTGGCCACGCTGATCGACTCGCGCCTGGTCGGGTAGGGGTTCTTAGGGTTTAGGGTTTAGGGTTTAGGGTTTAGGGTTTAGGGTTTAGGGTTTAGGGTTTAGGTCCGACCTCAAAAATGTTAGGGGGGCAGAGGCTGGCCTTACATGGCAGTGCTTATATTCACAGCTCTACTTTGTTGGGTTTGGGGTTTGGGGCTTAGCCCCAAACTCCAAACCCCCGAGCTGTGGAGCAACGTGAAGGTTAGGCACCCGGATCATGATCCCAAGTACTAGGCGCGCAAACCCCTAAACCCCAATCCCCTCACCCCAAAAAGCCCACACCCTGTAGTTTTCGTCGAACATGGAAGTGCGCGCTGCCGAATCCCGAATTTCCAGGTTCGAGGCCCTTGCCGCCATTTCTCAGCCTCCTTGGGGTTCGGGTTTAGGGTCTTAGGGTCTTCGGGTTGTGGGGGGAGGCATGTGCACGTTGTTCCCGAAACCCTGAACCCTAAACCCTAAACCCTGAACCTTATAAACACTAAACTCTATAAACCCTCAACCCCAGCTCTACTTTGTAGGGTTGTGGGGTTTGGGGTCGGCATGTGGAGTGTTGGCTTCGGTCTCGGTCTCTACCGGCCGGAAAAATGTGGGCAATCTCACCATACCCAAAACCCTATAAACCCTATGATCCGTATCAATCCTATACACCCTATCAAGCCTATGAAGCCTATGAAGCCTCTAAATCTTATAAACCGTCTAAACCTATAAACCGCATAAACCCTACAAACCCTACAAACGCTACAAACCCTACAAACCCTATGAACCCTATGAACCCTATGAACCTAAGCCGAATGAGGATCGTCTGTAAGTAGGTTAACTGCAGCCCGGCAGCGCGGCTGCTGGCAGAATTGACCAGATACCATCCTTCCAATTCTTCCGGCTCACTAGACCATACGCCTTTTTCGGGTTTCGTGGGGTGTCTGGGTGGGTTAGGCTCTTTGCTGGCTGTGTTTGCTTTCTGGGGCTGCTAGGTTGCCTGGTAAGCTATGACCGAACTGGGGACCTTCGTACGTATCGCTGTAGCTCTTTCATGAGTTTGTAGGGGGGAAATGGGGGGGGGGGGGGGGGGGGGGTTTAGGGTTTAGGGTTTAGGGTTTAGGGTTTAGGGTTTTAGGGTTTAGGGTAGGGTTTAGGGTTTAGGGTTTAGGGTTTAGGGTTTAGGGTTTAGGGTTTAGGGTTTAGGGTTTAGGGTTTAGGGTTTAGCGCGGGTCTCATGGAAGGAGAAGGGGGATGGGTCTGGGCATGATTCGTCCCCATGGGGAACAAACTCGGTCTTCTTATTCTGCACGGCGAAGGGGAACACAAACTAGGCCTCTCTCTCTCTGTCTGTCATTTTTGACCCTAAACCCTAAACCCTAAACCCTAAACCCTAAACCCTAAACCCTAAACCCTAAACCCTAAACCCTAAACTTGTTCTTCTTCCTTCGTCTTCCGTTGCCTCTCTCGAGACGAGCAGACCGACACCAGCCGAAACCGTGTTGGGCATTACTTGAAGGCTCATGGGTCTCTACGAAGAGGGGCTAGGGTTTAGGGTAAGAAGGGCAGCTTCAGATGTGACCCCAAGCCCAAACCCTTCGAGCAAGGCATGTGAACATCCTGCGTAAGACGACAACCTGGAGGACTAAACTTCTATAGGGTCCTTAAGGGCGTGGGCTCCATTGGGGGGCAGGTAGCAAGTGAACCTTGGGGAAGCTCAGGGCGCCTTCGGGAGTAGTGGGGAGTCTTCGGGGAACCTGGGGCTACGTAACCCGCTTGAACCGCACTCCCTTTACCTTGGGGACGAAATGAACCTTAAAGTTGGGGTCATATACCCTATACTACTATAATGCCTAGCAAGGTATATGAACCCTAAACCCTTTTAGGGCTCATTTCGTCCCCAAGGTAGGACCCCTAAAAAAGCCACAGGGGAGCTCAACCTTGAACACATAAAACCTCATACCCACGATGCCCGACACCGGGACTTGTGGCGGGGTTGAGGACGAAGGTGCCAAGCCAGATGATCGCAAAGCACCAAGCTTTCAGAAAACCCTAAACCCTAAACCCTAAACCCTAAGCCCTAAACCCTAAGCCCTAAGCCCTAAGCCCTAAGCCCTAAGCCCTAAGCCCTAAACCCTAAACCCTAACCCTAGAGCCACTTCCGAGCTGGGGATCCCGAATTGCAAGCCTGTGTACGTCCATACGGCTTTTAGGGTTTAGGGTGTCATATATGGGGGGTTTACAAAATCAGGGACGCTTAAATTTAGACCCCAAATAGCAGGATTCCGGGTTTAGGTTAGGGTCCAGGGTTTCCTTATAAATAAGGACCCCAATAAGGTACCCCGAATTTCGGAATAGAGGGTCTCAAGGGGAGCCTTGTCCACGTTGCTGTTCTTCTGCGCGATCTGGTCCTCCTTCGTGAGGCCAGGGGTAATGCCTGCATGAAAAAGAGGGGGTTTCATGGGGTTTGGTGGGCGGGTTTGATATGACCGGTATGCTGCGCACAGTCTGGTTGCCATAAAGGCAGACAATACCCACAGGTGATGGCCCTGCCCTATACCCTAAACCCTAAATGAATCCTCAACCCTGAACCTAAACCCTGGACCCTAAACCCTAAACCCTAGACCCTGAACCCTAAAGCCTAAACCGTAAACCCTAAACGCGTTAAACAAACAACAAAACTCCAAGCCCTAAGCCCAGAACCCTCAACCGCTGAATCTACAAACCCAGGAACCCTGGCGATCCGGGTTTAGGATTCAGGGTTTAGGGTGTAGGGTTTAGGGTTTAGGGTTTAGGCCAAAGGGTTATAACGGCCAAGCAATGCGCTTTGCAGTGCGTCTCCAGGTTGCTATACTCATACCCGGAGGGTTCATGTACCTAACTAGGGAGTACGTGGGCCTTCAAGCGCCTCCTATACAGAGACTTTGGGGCCCAAGCCGATAATAATGAGGCACATGGACCCTTGGGGAGAAACCCTAAACTTTCCCGAAGACCCTAGAAGGCTTTAAGACCCTAACGATCTTCCACAAGCGTCTTGTGGAGTGTGTGCACGCTCTTGGCGAGGTTTTCTCTTCCAACCACAGTTGTGGAGGTCTAGGGTCTTAGGATCATTGGGATCTTCGGATTTAGGATGTTGGGTTCAGCATCCTGCTAAGCCCAGTTAGCCCCAAGTCCTCAACCTCAAAGACTCGAACCCTCAACCCCTAACAGCCGCCCCCCCTACACCCTAACCCCTAAACCCTAAACCCTGAACCCTGAACCCGAAACCCTAAACCCTAAACCCTAAACCCTCAACCCTAAACCCTAAACCCTAAACCCTAAACCCTAAACCCTAACAGAGCATCGCGGGGACGGCCTACAAAGGCCGCAGCGTCGGCTTCGCTGGTCGAAGTGTGTGCCTCAAACTCGGCAGGTCTTCTAGGGTTTAGGGTTTAGGGTTTAGAGTTTAGGGTTTAGGGTTTAGGGTTTAGGGTTTAGGGTTTAGGGTCAGGGCTGAGGGTCTACTTGGAGGTTCATGGGTACTTATAGCACCTATTAGAAGCCTACTTATGAACCGACTGAGAGGACTTAGGGGACTTAGGCGGCTTGTCGGTGCAGCAATAATTGGGGTTAAAAAGTAACCTCCGAGTAGCATTTAGCCACCGCCCAAAGAAGCTCAATCCGAAGGAAATTCCGAAGTCTGAGCCAAAAAGCTAGACAGCTGTACTGCTAGGCCGGCACTGGCAGGGTCTGCAGAGTGCGGGGGCTTAGGGTTTAGGGGTTTAGGGGTTTAGGGGTTTAGGGGTTTAGGGGTTTAGGGGTTTAGGGGTTTAGGGGTTTAGGGGTTTCGGGGTTTAGGGGTTTAGGGGTTTAGGGGTTTAGGGGTTTAGGTAGGGATTAGGGGTTTCGGGGTTTAGGGGCTTAGCAGTTTAGGGGTTTGGGGGTTTAGGGGTTTCGGGGTTTAGGGGTTTAGGGGTACTCCAGTTGGCCGGGTTGGCAGAGTGCTTGGGGCAGGAAAGTGGTGACATCTTCGTGACATCACATCACCACCGTAGGCCTTAAACCATTTCTTGGTGTAGTCCAGTAACCTTATCATAGGCACCCTTTTTGAGGTTGATTATTTTATACGGAAACTCAGAACCCTCCCCCCAAAAAAAACAAGGCAAAAGAATATCACTGGGCCACCAGGATATATTCTTTTCACCCTTCATTGGAATTAGCTGGGCCCCTTTCACGGAGACCTTCGATAAGGACTTTCCTACATTGGGGTTTTCAAGGCCCTTTGAGCTTTCCATCTCCATAGTCGCTTGCAACCCCAGGAGGCGACAGCTATGGAACAGAAGGCCTGGCAAGCGGGGCTACAGCAGGGACGTGGAGGATGGCACCCTAAACCCTAACCCTAAACCCTAAACCCTAACCCTAAACCCTAAACCCAAAGACCTGAACCCTAAACCTACTCATTTAGTGTCTAGGGCTTTGTGGCTCAGGGTGATCTGACAGGGTCGAACATCTGAGGCTGCCAGCGCATCGGGCCTGCACTCCGTGCAAGCGTCCGGCAAGATTCGCCTGCGCGTAGGGTTTAGGATTTAGGATTTAGGGTTTCGGGTTAGGGTTCACAGTATCCTGACCTCGAAGCAGATGCGCAATGTCATGAAACTGTCAAAGCACTCTGCCTTTGGACGACTCGCGCAGCATGCGGGCGCTTCGGAAAAAAAACGATGAGACCCCACGCTGTTCGCGTGGTTCTTCCAAAGCACGCTGTTCGCGTGATTTTTCCGAGCATGCTGCCATGTCCTGGCAGCCCTGCAGGCGTCTTGTCTTCGGCAAGACGGCGGAAAAGCGAGCCTCACAGTTCTGCGGAAGGCTGGCTGCGCAGCCCGAAAATCGGAGAGAAAACCAACATCAAATCACAACGAGGGATTGGAGGTTTGGACTTTTCACCCTTAATTACTACTCCCTGTCGACATGGCCCCGCGGCTTCCCGACTTGAACGGCCCCTCCAAAGCCGGGCTGAGGAGGCAGCGGAGGCATGGAAGGTCTGGGAGCTGGAGGGCCCAAGCCTGGCGGCAAAGCTGGGGCGTCCTGCGCGCCATACTGGGGAGCCGTGGGCTGCGACGGGGCCATGGCCGGTGGCAGCTGCAAGCCGGGTGGGAAGACAGGGCCGGTTGGTGCTGCAGGCGCGGGGGGCGTTGAGGCGGGAGGTCCCTGGCCATGTGTGTCTGCTGCTGCATGTGTAAGTGCTTGGCGACATTCCTGCACTGCATGGAGGTGGCGAGCAAGGTCCAAGTGAATGAGAGAGTAAGCGGCTTTGGCCACGCCGAAGACGGCAAGCGCCAACTTTCCATAAAAGAAAGATATAGACAGTAACTCACTCAAAGCTTCTGTGCTGACTACCCACACAGCGTAAGCTTGCAGGAGGAAGGTCAGCGGAACCTCGACGGACTTCTCCGTCAGCACAATGGCAAGAAAATCGTCGGTCGGCCATCCATGGCGGCTGGACTCTGTGAAGGCACAGTACCAGGAGCCAAGATCTCCACGCCTTCTCATCCGTCGCGTTTCGGCCCAAAGGGACACCAGAAAGATGCCCAGTTGCAATGCGAACAGCACGTACATCTCCCCCTGCAGAAACTGCCAGCCGGCAAGGCCATCTGAGACGAAGTCTGCTGCAAATAAGAGCATCTCTAGATGCAACATTATGCGCTCCTTTGCAGTCGGATTGATTCGCTTGGACTTCATTTTCCTAGTGACCTCCTCAGAAAGGCGGGAGATGCGCTCCTGGAGCGCATGGTCTGCGCAGGCGGCTCCGGAGTAATGACTTGCGCAACAGACGCTTCCAGTCAACATGTACCACCCACAGCTGAAGAGGAGAAATCCGCCAAGTCCGAAGAGAGGTGCTAGTCCCAAGAAGAGCTCGAGGAAGAAGAAGAAGCGAGGTCCTGCTGAGGCTGTAATGTGGTGGCCAAGGCCACAAATGGGGGGGCCAAGAATGGCCAAACCCAACAAAGCGGAGATGACGATGAACACCCTCGCGGGCCGCTGGCGCTCGGCCAGCCCGAAGGCCGAGTAGTCCTGCGGGAAGATCACGTACAGCGGCAGCAGCCTCGGCCTGAGCTATGTCAAAGCCGAAAACCCTCATGGCGCGACTAAACCCTTAACCCTAAACCCTAAACCCTAAGCCCCAAACCCTAAACCCTAAACCCTAAACCCCAAACCCTAAACAGGTCTACCAGACCGTAGTGAAACTAAGGTTCAGGGTTACTCTGGCTTAGTGAGATGCTCTGGTTGGTGTTGCAGAGGCGCCTGGCATCATCCACTGCGCAGGCACGCGACCTGTGGAAGGCCACGGCGGACATGAAACCAACCGTGAGCGCATATAGTCCTTGCAACTGCGAAGCTCAGGGATGATTGGGCGATTGGGAAGGCAAAGTCACACATGCGTGCTTCCAAAAAATTGCTAACTCCCTGGGAGGCTCCAGCTCCAAGCACACTCGCATCCCATCCGACGCCGACTCTCTTCACATGCATGAAAGCTTCGGGGAGAATAATAAACCAATACATGGTGAAAAAGCCGATGCAGACCCACGTGGCGACATATCCCAGAGTCCAGAACCACACCATCCAGGATGTGACCGGCTGCTCCTTCGCGAGGATCTGCTGCGTGGCTTTCAGCCTTCCCGCGAGCTCGAAGGAGGGCGACGGCGCCATGGCCCTTCAGCACCAGGGTGCTCTTTGGGCCCAGAGGTCCTACTTTTTGGGGCCTGGCGACAGAAAATATTTTGCCGTACCCACACTCTTGTGCCTAAACGCTTACTCGCCTAACCCTAAACTGTGAAACTTAACCCTAAACCCTACGCTCTAAACCCTAAAACCGACAATCCAAACGACCCAAACCATGCCCCTCATGTTCATGACCTGATGGCTGTTGGAGCCAGGGCCACCTTCGGCAGCTACACTTTTCACATCTCGGGCACGGCCCAGGTGATATTCAGAGCTCCTCCAGCCCAGTGAGGCTTTCAACGGTTTAGGGTTTAGGGTGAAGGTTTAGGGTTTAGGGCTTAGGGTTTAGGGTTTAGGGTTTGGGGTTCAGGGTTTAAGGGTTTAAGGGTTCAGGGTCTAGGGTTTCGGCCATCTAGATTCCGAAATCCATAAGCTCGAAGTGGCCCAGGTGTCAACCAACCCTGCAGACGCTACACTCCAGGCTCCAAAACGCCTCGAACCTAAGCGTTGCAATTGGAACCAAGCCCTGAACCCTAAACCCTAAACCCTAAACCCTAAACCCTAAACCCTAAACCCTAAGCCCTAACCCTTTGCTGTGTCTCGTACAAGGTTGGGATTGTACGAACCTGAACCCCATCGGCCGTCTGAAGCCCTGAGCCCTTGTTTATCTGGCCAAGGGCCCCTCATCAGGGGCTTTAGGGCTGCGCCGCGGTGGTGGAAACAAGTCGTCAACTCCACGCACCTTGGGGGTGCCCAAGTGTGCAGCTTAGGTGCCCGGAACGGCCATAAGACACTATCTAGCTCTCATCATGAAAATCCTTCAGCAACTTCCCGAAACAAAGGAGCATCAACACACGAAGAGATGCACGCAGGAAGGAAGGAGAATGCAAAGAAGTGACCATCGAAGACCCGGGCCAACTGAGAAAAACAAAAAAAAACGACACAAAGACTGACATACCCTGCCCTTGACATAAAGGGCTTGGCCAATTGCGTATAAAGCGGCCGCAAGACCCTGACATTGACATCACTCAGCCCTAAACCCCAAACCCGAAGCTCGTCTGGATCTCCCAGAAATTCGCCCGCCATCGAGCCCGCCTGCAGCCGCACACCATGGCTCGCAGGCCTGGCACGCCGACCCACTCTCAGAACTGAAACCTGCACCCTAAACCCTGAACACCCTGACCCGAAACCTGCACCCAAACCCTAAACCCTAAACCCTAAACCCGAAACCCGAAACCCTAAACCCTAAACCCTAAGCCCTGCACCCGAAACCCTGAACTCCCTGAAGCCCCTACACCCGAAGCACAAAGCAAGCCCTCAGCTTCTGCCCTTACTTTCGTTGTAGCTCGAGGCTAGTGCACCACAGGGACGTCAGGTTGCTTTTCTTGGAAGAGAATAGATAGGCACCTATGAAACGTCGACATGGGACCCTCGAAGGGATCTAGTTCTAGAGCACCTACTCCCGAGTAGTCCCTACTAAGAACCAGTAAGTTGCACAAGGCGAGCAACAAACAAGATAGTTTTTGTTTGAACTCGAATGAGCCCTTAAACGAGTCCGTTTTTAAAGACTGTAACCATAAGGGAACATCAGGGGCTGGCTGGGACATGCTTCAGGCCCTCCAAAGGTTATCCAGGGTAATAGGCACATAAGAAACTCAAAGCAGCCAGGGCAAGGGGGGGGATACTTGAAACCTTAGTCCAGAGATTCAGGTAGAAAGATGTTAAGCCCCTGAGCGAATGAGATCTTGAGACTGGACCTGAGGCCCCGCCAGTATGAGAACTTCGTCAAACTGGGTGATACCACAAGACACGACTAAAACAAAACAATCAGGGGTTAGGCTCTGCAAAAATCATGTGTTCACAACATGCCGGCGTGCGTATACGAAACAAGACAACTGTAAAAACCATCATACGCGACTCAATTTTATGGGGTTGCACGTCCTAAACAAAAGGACTATGATTTCAACTGAGCATCCTACACAGCAATGAACAAATGCTTGCTTTCTTCCTCCCCAGTGCACTCCCTCTCTCTTTCCCTCCTTCACCCAGTCTCACTTTCTTTCTTTGGGGCTTTAAGCAATCTCTCTCCCTCTCTCTCTCTCTCCCTTCCCCACCCACTCTGTCCCAGCCTCTGACAAAGCTAGCATGAACCCCAGACCGCAAACCCTCAAAACAAAACAAAACCTTTGAACCCAAATCCCATCCCCATGAAAAAACAGAATTGACAACACCTGCCAGCACGACCGAGCGCACAGCTGTAAAGCCTGTGGCCAGGGCTTCGATTGTCCGGCGTTAAAGGGTGAAGATTGGGATGCCCCGCCCCCCCCCCATACTAACAGTCCTTAATAGGGATTAGAGTAGGGGCACTATATTCCATATTCCCTAGGACTGTTAGTATAAGGGCGAACATCCCAAGGTAAAGAGCTTTGGATGGAGCTGAGGTCTACCTAGATAAGCCTCACCAGGAGACATGGGCTATTTTTACATAATTGACTCTAAAAGTAGGCAGGATGTAAACCCGCAAGGACCATCTGTTTATTGCAAGTTCGTATTTTGGGGGGTTTGACTTGCATACCCCAAGCCCTATAACTCTAAACCAATAGAGGGAAAGCAAAAAAGCAAAGCCCTACACCCGAAACCCCAGACCCTACGCCCTGAACCCCAAACCGAGAGCCGTAGACCCTAAACCCCTAAATCCGAAACCAAGACAAAGAAACAAACAAGCGAAGCCCTCTTGGTAGCCCACTAATCATCTTGATAATGCGGGCACCCTTTTTGGGGTTGGTTATGTCATAATAACGGAACTTTGAACCAAAAAAACAAGGTAAAGGGACCACTGGGCTACCAAGCCCTCAAGGGTGACTGGCGCGAAATAGCTTGGCAGCGCTGACTTTTCTTTCAAGGAGTCCCACAATTCCTAAAGGGAGCAAGCCCCCGGGAAGGAGCCTGCAGGGGCCCTGCCCGACGCAGCATCGCCGCCGCCATGTTGTCAGCTTTGTATAGAATATGGTCGTTTGCTAACGAGGACCCTGAATCCTAAACCCGGGTCTCTTAGAGCTCTGAGGGATAGGGCCCATTGCTTGAGGAAACAATTCAAGGGACGTTGCTAGCCCTACTGCATACCTAGCAGGCGATGCCTACCTATGAACTTTGAGGGCTCCTTCAGTGAACCCGAAAACCTCAAACCGCCTAAGCCTGACGGACCCTCATCTTTGCATAGTTCTGCTGCCTGGAGATTGAAAACTTCCGAGCCGGACGGAAGTTTAGCGCTTATACTTGGAGGTTCATGGTACTTATTAACCAATTATATATGTACTTATATCTGTTCTTGTATAACCATATTGGGGCACTTAAGGGGCTGACAAGTGGGTTACAAGTACAGTTATAATTTGTTCATAAGTACCATGAACCCCCCAAGTGTAGATCGCCGGCTCCTGAGCCGTTTGCTTGTTTGTCCCTAGTTGATAGGGCTTCGGGAACTCTGAGAACTCAATCCCGGACTCCGCACTCCACGCAGTGGTGCTAGGACCGCCATACTGGGATTTTGGGGTTTACGGACTTCTTCGGCTGCGCTGACGGGGTTGCCTTTGGTCAGTGTTGGGGCCTGAGGGTTTCTATGGGCTCCGAAAGTACGGCATCATGTCAGCCAAGCTCGAAACCTCAAAATTCCCCCTTATTCTACCAGTCCTTAATAGGGATTATAGTGCCCCTCCATTATAATCCCTATGAGAGACTGTGGGCACGGCGACCAACAACAATGAGAGGAGAAGTTGTCTCCAACCTCGGGTTCAGGGTTTAGGTTTTGGGGTTTAGGACGGTCGGGGATGGTTTGCGTTTCAGTTGCGGGTGGATTTAGGGTTAGGGACTTAGGGTATAGGGCTGCAGTTGAGCCTTAGGGTTAGGGTTGAGGCTTTGCTGGATAGGTCTTACGCAGAATGGCGTGCATGTGACGGCATCCACAGGGACGACCGTGAATCAAACTCCAATCTCGAAAACTGGCTCACCACCGCAACCCCCACCCCCCCAAATGAAAAGAACAAGATCTAACCCCTTCAAGTCGTAATCCCCATAGACCAAAAACCCTCTCAGCTTAAACCCCTTTGAACCCTCAACTTTTCACTGCCCTACAAGCCCTAGTCCTTCTCAGCCCTCTCACCTAAAAGCCTTTCTGGGGGAGTTGTTGTGGATGGAAAGGTTAGCCCTTTGTTTTTGCTATGGGTAATTCGTGTCTGTTGTGACGTTCTTACTCAGGGTGCCGTACTATATAGGGGACCTAAAAAGGGACCCTAAGTGAGAACTGCCCATATTCACAGTGACCCCTAGAAGGGACCCTACTTACGCTATCGAGCCTCTATACCTAGGTAGCCCCTACATACTTGCCAAGGTCGTTCCTTTCTTGGGTTTACCATACCCCCCCCCCCCCCCCAAACAAAAAAAAAATCAAGGCTGTCTACTCTTCACCTAACAAGCCCTTTAAGCCCTGAGCCCTTTTCATCTGCTAAGCCCCCAGCCCTCATCGGCCCAGCCGTAAACCCTACCAGCCCTATGTCTCCTAAACATACGTACAGAACTTATAAACACCAAACGCCCCATAAAGCCTGAAAGCCCAAAACCCTACGAACCCAACATATATACAAACCCTGAAAAACCTGTCCACAAACCGTAACCCTGAACCCTAAACCCCCTGAACCTAAACTCTGGGCTTCGGGTCGGGAACCCATTCACCAGGTACGTCTGTGAGCGAGTCGTCCCCCCGGGCTCCGTGCTGAACGTTATCTGAGAATCGCCAGACCCTGGCCACAGGAGGTTTACTGCACTAAGTTTCCAAGTTTAAGTAAGTAACAGTTGAGGGTTTCAGTTTAGGGTGTAGGGGTTTCGGGTTTAGGGTTTGGGGTTTAGGGTTGGCGAGGTGGGGGTGATTGGGGACTCCAGGCATCCTCCTTGTGGCTATGAGTTTGTTCTGCGTACTGGGGAGAAGGCTGCTGCAA